AACCTAATCAAGTGCAGCTGGTGATAAGGGAGTGAGGAACAGGTGAACGTGATTAGTGTTAATGGGCAAGAGACAGTAGGAAAGGTGAGGGAGGCCAGAGCGGCCGAGCAAACCTGACAGATATATGATCGACTGAACTCTGCAATTAAAACTCTGAAAGGATTCTCCCATCAATGGGGACAAAAAAAAGTTCCAATAAAATGCTTAAGAAGATATATCATAACGTCTATGTCCGTGTACATACTGCAACAGCAAGAGAATCATTGCTCTGCTGTTCCATAGGCACACTGAGTGGGTTGACTGTTAGAAAAGCTTTAGCACGATGGAGAGGGCTTTTGCTTCATACAACAGGGACATGTCAGACATGGCTGTAGTCAGCAGCCATGTCTGACATGTCCCTGCTAAAAAGAAAATTAAAGATTTAGCTGCCAGTTCCCTTTATTACCATGGACAGGTCAAGTGGCTCTCCATCTTTTGTCCAATCTACACGAACTAGTGGAGGCTGAGCTGCTGCTGGGCAGGTAACCACACCAACCAGACCTGTAGGAAGGTAGGTTTCCTGGGGCATTCGAAGAGCCTGGGCTGGGTCTGAGTAGAGAACAGATACATACTTATTACATACTTATTAATATATTTCCACAAACTGCACCTGTAAATTAAAGTGACTCAGTGCGGTACGGTTTCTATCTAATCACGAATAAAAAGTTTAAAGTTTTATTTTTATTTCTACAAATCTCAGACAGATATTGATTTTAGTTTTTAACAAAACTGCCAACTAATAATTTATCCTTTATGTGTACTTAATAACTTTCTCTATTTCTCTTAGAATTAGAACCAAATTGTATGTGTTGTTGTGTCACAATACCATCAAAAGTTTAGGAAATTATGGAACATCTACAGAAAAATGACTGGAAGAAATAGGACCCACAAAATAAAATATAAAACAAAATACATATGGTTTGGACACTTTAATCTCTGCGTTTTGTTTTTGCTGCAATGGCAATTAACTCAAGTTAAAGCAGCATTAAAATCTTGTCTTTACTGCCCTCTGGTGGTTTAGCTTGTCATCATGCTGTAAAAATGTAGAAAAGCACTCCAGGGTGTGTCACTACACCGTGACATCACCAGTGGGTGTGCTTACAGGTGCAATAGAGCACCTGTTAAACCATGCTCAACCACGCCCGTCATTGTGGTCTTAGTTTGAAACACACTTGAGTCTTTCCTCCAAACAGGGTTAATGAAACAGTGTCTTGTTACTCCAAGTATTTTAGAGCTAGGATAATGCAGACAAATTTGATGTAGTCATTTCTAAGTTTTAAAATATAGTAAGAATATGTGATATTCTATCGTTAAAATGTATAGTTGTAAGTGATAATTTATTCAATAGTCACTTGTTGATAATTCAATACAAAATGAGATAATACAGTACTTGACAAAATGCTGCTTCATGAATTATATCTTACTCCTAATGTGAAAAAAATCCACTTTTAAAAAAGGCTCAACCCTAATGTGTTGAAATTCTGAAGACATTAGAATTTGAAAATATCTGATGTCTGTCAAGGACAACTACAGACTATACACAGAAACCTACGCATCACTGTCAGGTTGGCAGAGGCAGTGGGTGGGGTCAGCAGGCCATTGGTAGGCATGCAGGTGTAGTTCCCAGAGTCTCCTGGGAGGAGACCAGAGATAAGCAGAGTTCCATCAACCATGATCTTCACTCGTGACTTCAAAGACCTGGGGGAAGCACACAGGAATTGTTCAATATGTAAAGAACAAACCTTTTCACAATACCAGCAAGAAATAATTCATCTCTTTGTTCCGGCTGAGTCACGCGGGCTCTCAGTGTTACTGCTCTATTTTCTTGTGAGTTATTCACCACTCTGGGCAGATGGAGGTTAAAGAAATTTCATTTCAGCTGTGAGAAGAGAAGTGCCCACTCATTTTATATATTCTTACATTTATGGAGAAAGCCGAGAGAACACCTAAGGACTCTACCAGGCTGCAGTGCCTCACAAACAGGCTACTACTATGATATGTGTTTGTGGACTGACCAACAGTCAAACAGACTAATCATCACATAGGTGTTTATTTGTTTGTTTTTGGGATAAAAATGATCACATAGTGTCTTTATTAAGTCTGTATTCAAAAATAAGCTGGCACACACTTGGTATAATATTGCCTTATAAGTTATTCTGCCTAACAACTGACACTTAGAACAACATTAGCACTAATATGGAGTAATTCTCTGTTTACTGGATGAATGTACTGTAAATCCAATATTCACTCTTCCTTTATCTCTAGTTTTGTCTCAACTAACTCCTAGCTGAGATAAATATCTGGCTCTCCCACTGGTCTACTTTCTTGACCAGCTAGTCGCCAGCTTTGTCCACTGTTTAGCGTGAAGCAAGTTAAGTCCAGTGTAAACCAGGTTGATTAGAATCCTGAGATTGAAACAAACTAAAAAGCTGCATAGGTGGGTGATAATTCTCTGTGCATTCATGTAACCCCTCTCACAGTACAAATAGTCATTTAACGAATTGTTAATGCAAAAACTACTGATTGACCACTCCCTTAATAGCATTAAATAACTAACCTTAAAAGTTCCCTGTGGGGTTTTTGGTCAAAAGTAATGCACTGGAGCAATTTTTGTATCATGCAAAAGCACATGACACCCCCAGGTTACACAATACATATTCATTCTTTAGGGTTCACGCTAAAATCGTGATTACTTGTTGGCAACAGCACAGTGAGAAATCTAACAACAAGTGTAATAAAGAAGAAGCAAACACAAATGTGAACAATATTAGAAAAATCAGTTCTGCAACTCAGGAGGGAAATGCAATCAATAGATTCGTTAGACCTCAAGGATGCACATAATCCATTATAGTACAGTAAGTAACACTGAATAATGTAAACACTACATTGCTTCCAAGAAAGCTCCATAGCTTAACACCAAGCTATAAACTGACCTCCTCCCAAGTGCACATGTAACACTAAAGACACTTTGCGTGCTTTCCATTTGGCTAATGTGGCTCCTCACTCCCCTTACTTGCATTTCATCCTTGCATCCTAGCTCCTTCAGAGGGGAAGCAAGAACATGGAGGAGCAAGGATGGAGGAATTGTCTTCACCAAACATCACTTTGGTATCTCTTTAAGGGAATGACAGCATCTAATCTAACTAATGTGAACAAAACAGTTACATTAAAAAAAGAACCCCGGATGCTTGATGACTGCTGCTCCGACACTTCCAATACTTCCAGTTGTGAGAGCTGGTTCTGTCCTGGACTGCTCTCTGGATTCCATCGAGGAGGTGGCGGACAGAAGGATTCTGGTAAAACTAACATCCATCATGCATAACCCCTCCCATCCCCTGCACCACACAGTGGTGGCTCTGAACAGTTCCTTTAGCGCAAGACTGTTACATCCCCAGTGTAAGAAGGAGTGTTACCGTAGGTCGTTCCTCCCCACAGCAATCAGACTGTACAATACCTCACTGCAGTGATAAGCTAGGTGAAATTATGAGGGACTATGTAATAATCTACTGTGTTCAATATTCAGCTCCTGGGTGTGAAGAGCATTGTAAATAGGCTCATGTGTAATATCTTGTTCCTGATCTCTCTCAAATAGTGTTACATTGTCCTGCTTTAGGTTTTTTTGAGTAGTGGCTCAAAGATCCTTATGGCTGAAACACAGGTTTCTCTCCCCCACTGTGGGATTAATTGTGTGAGTAATATTTGATTGTTCTTGATTTCCTGGTTGTTTAGTCTCTACTGCTGCTCCTGATTCTCTCCAGTGCTGCTTTGCCCTGTTTTTAGGTGCCTTTGATTTGCTTATTTGTGCTGTGTAAAATGTAACGTTCTGATGATGCTACTTTTACAATCCTTGTGTGTATCGGTTCTAATGCTTTGTTGCCTTTATGTAACTGTTTATTTTAAGACTAAGTGTTCTTTGTTACTACGTACTTGTACGCATGCGCCGCGCGGAGTGGCAGCAAGTTACAGCAGCTGTGTCCTCGTTGTGTTCTTATGGTGTTATGTTGCTTGTTCTCTATTGCTGCTGTAACACTGAAATTTCCCCACTGTGGGATCAATAAAGTACCTACCTACCTACCTACATCTCTGTGGCATTGGGACATTATACTGATCAGTGACTGATAGAAATAATACAAATAGATACCATTTTGTTTATTACTGAAAAACAGAACAAATATGAGAAGTACAAACTAAAAAAACTGTAAATATTCTGAATAGTATTGAATGCCCAAATAGTTAGTGAAAGACCGCAGGTATAGTAAATCTGACTTCCTTTTCAGGCACAGGCTGATATTATATGACTAATGATGATATTCTCACTGTGGGGCTGAGTTGGACTGTAGCTGTAGACTGTACTATTTCTCTGTGAGCCGAGATGAACTTGGAATGGCTTTTGGCTGATAAAGAATAAATAAGCAAACCTGCAATGAATGATTTCATGATTCATTTATAGTTTAGATTCTACACACATTACTTTTATTTATGAATAATCAAGAATAACCTTAGAACCGTTGTTGGTACTACCATTTCTGTTTCATAGGTATTCTACCAAATGATGCTATCATGCATGTTAAATATCAATATCACCAAATAAAATTACATATACTGTGATCGTGGATTTTATAAGTATCACCCACGTCAGCTGCCCAAGGCCCCACTCTAAAATCATCCTATGGTGATACAAAACTCTACACTTCTATGGCATGCTGTTGTTCATCATAACAACTACCTTGGAGTGCATTTTTGATGCTGATTTGAGAGCCTCACATCAGAGATAGCCAAAAAAAAAAACACCTTTTATCATCTCAGGAATATGTCCAATGTACAGCCTATCCTCTCCCAGGCAGATGATGGAGCAATAAAGCATCACTAGCAGCCTTGATTACAGCCACACTCTTTTTGTTCTGGTCTAGCAATAAAACCTCCAGTTTTAAGCTCTCAAATATTACCGTCATTAACTTTGAGTGAAAAGAAATATGTATAATATTATTCAATTAGTGTTCATGGTGATTCATACAGTTCTGTTCCCAAAGTAAGAATCTCCACAGACGCTCCCTAGTGGACAGAAACCCCACAATGTCTTGTGAACAACAAAAACATATGCAGGGGTGTGTATTTCCCCAAGGAACTTTCTTTGGAACTGTTGTAGCATTATCTAGATTTTACAGTCACCAGCTAAGTGTTGCTATTTTAATGTAAGCTAACGTTAGCTAGAAAACTCTCTCAAAAATAAAACACATAATGCGCAGAGGGACTTCCAAGATGCAAAGAATGCAGCATCAGTGTTAAGAGTTTCATTAGAACATGACCTTTGCTTCCTTTTTCATACCTGAGAGACAGGGGTTTGGAGTGCACACTGAATAATAATTCCATAGAAAATGTATGGTCTTTGACTCAAATTACAGTAAATTTCATGAGTGCATTTTGTGTTCTCTCTACATGTCTATCTAATGCAGAGTGGCCCTGATTCATTAAAACTCTGAGAAGATCAATTCAATGCAACATGTGCAAAACGCTCCACTTACTCCATGTCAGTTTTTGAACAACATTCAATTTTTGTCATCAAATCATTCAGTGGACCATCGCATGAGCACATGTCAGAAAAGGCTTTTAAGAAATGTCATTCCTGGTTTTGTTTAGTCCACTGGGACTGGATTTCAGGTACTGTAGTTCCACAGGCCATAACTAAGACCTAGAAGGAGGCAGACTTAAGTTTCTTTAACAAAGGAAGAGTGTCTGTGTACATAAAGAAACACATTTTTGTTATATAAACCTCACAGCCTCCCAGAGGACTTTAGAAACTGGTTTTTATCTTTGTATTCACATAATGAATCTGGCAGATTTTACTGATTATTTCACATTTTTGCTATAGTATTGCTTCACCTTGGGTTGATTTTTTTCGTCTCTTCTCTGTGAAACACTATGTTCCATGAAAAGTACTAGGTAAAATTTCAATAAGATGCTACAATTATTCTTACGCTGCCACATTTAGAATAAAAAACTGATTAAAAACACAAATGCAACATTTTACTGCACCTGCTCAAACGTGTTATGGAAAACATCATAAAGTAAAAACAGGCAGATTGGGAAGAAAGAGGAATGATAGCACTCACTCTATGTGGTAGACATTTTCTCCACCTTTCTGCCACACATAGGTCATGTTAGGGGGATCGGCCACCGCCTGGCACCGGAGATATGCATTCTGGGACATGTTGAGCGAGATGCTTTTTGGAGGAACTATGATGACAGGTGGACCTAGTGAGAGGCAGGTTACAAAAGTCATCACATGTATTTTCTCAATTGCTTAAGTCCATTTTCTGAAGCACTTCTGTCAGCTCTCAAAACATTAACAGCAATCATTTTCCACTGTGCAGCACAACACTTAATAGGTCCTGTGAAAGGTTGTCACTCAAAATGTACCTAACTCATGCAGGGCTGCAACTAACACTTACTTTTGGTGTTTAACTGGATGTTTATTTTCAAAATGAATTGACTATATGTTTATTCTATAAAGTGTTTGAAAGTGTTAAATAAAATCACAAGATAAAGATAATTCTCCCATTCGAGATGATGGAACTAAAAGCACTTTGCTTTGGTTTTGAACATTTTCATGTGAAAAATGACAAAACATTTCAATCATCAATCATCAAAATTGCTGCCCATTCTTTTTCTGTAGACCAAATTGTGGCAGCCCTAAACACGTGTCCAAAATAAATAACTTCTTCAGTGAGTGCACCTCTGCCACAAAACTGATATTTGCCCATCACTGCTAAGGTCAGTTATTAAGGAAGGCGCTGAGGATGACAGAAGACACAGTGTGTTTCTTTTAAGTCATTTCTCATTGAGACTTCAACACTGTAACCCAATAATAAAATATCTCCATCCAATTGAATGAACTCATACTGCATATGTTATACAAACACAAGTCTCAACAATCTCTTCACAGGTTTCTCACTGTCCACCTGCATCCTCCTTCCTTTCCCCTTTTCACAGTAAGTGCTTTTTAAGCTGTTAACAGTGATGTAACTCACAGTTATTACACTAGTAAGAAGAAATGGGAAGACCATCTTTGTAAGAGCCATACAGCTGAAAATGGGGAAAAGGTATCGAAAGGCTCATAATCCATTCCGTGAAATACAAGACAAGGTATTACTCCAGTTTCATGTTGCACACCTCTTTGAAAGAGATGTGCAACTGAATGCTTCTGCTGGACAAAACACATCACATATAGTATATTTTTACATGCCTTCCAATCTGCATGAGAGACATACTGTTACCCTCTGATGTCTGATTGGTCCATATTGAGTAACTGTGGTACCTATGAAAAATGTATGTCCTCATGTGGCATCGTGACAGTGCTTGGTTACTGCAAATACATCTAAATGTTTATGCTAGTTGGGGGCAAAATATCATGTGCAGATTGTCACATGAGCATGCTGATATATTTGTTCAAGAGTTATACAAACCCTTAGAAGACCAGTGCAATCCATTTTAAAGTGATCAAAAAGTACAGTGCATCTTTGTCTGGTGAAAGAAAAGTACACATGTTCTATGGAATCAAGGGCCAAGATGACTCCATACACAGGGGAAAAAATCCATGGCAATCAGAATTTTGAGGTATAAAGATTTAACAAAAGAAAAGTCAATGCATAACTGGCTAAAGCAACAGAAAATGCATTAAGTGTTAAGATTTGAGAACTGCACACACGGTGTTGAGAATCATGGCTTTGTTTGACTGTTAACTGTGACTGTGTGCACTGAGAAAAGCTGTCAAACTTCACAGTTTATTAACAATATAAAACAAAGAGTAATATTACAATACCCCAGAGACCCTGTGATGTCAAATATACCAATGTAATTTCCTAGGAAACTAATCACATACAGCAGAGTGGTGCTCCAATGTCACATTATCTCTTCGCTCGGCCGTGTCCAACTCCGACATGTGCTCTTTGCAAAGCACAAATAAAATACGCTTAACACAGCACGTGTTGTGTATAAATACCCACATGATCCCTGCATCAGTTATTACTGATCAGGTTTATAACATGAAATGCTTGATGGACATATGTATTACTGACAGTTTAGAGGTTACTTAAGGCTTTTAGATGGACTTCATCTAGATCAGCTATTACTGTAGGCTCCTATAATCCATCCATGTGGCAAGGCTGCAGAAAAAAAAAATGCAGCCAAAGCTCAGATAATGTGACTTAGACTAACCAATATTAGGGCAGCAGGTGCTCAGAATGATTGTCATTCAAACTGTGACCACTGCCACTGTGAGATTCCAAAATAAGTGAAACATCAAGGAGACTTTGTGCCAAAACAAGATATCTCCCCATGTGCCTCGCTCCAGAAGAGTCCTGGTTCTCTGAAGAAAATCTGCAGTAGGAGGACGTGTAGGAGTATAGGAAGGAGTCAGAAATAAATTCCACAGTGTATTATGCAGCGGTGTGTCGGTGAAATCCAGTGATACACAGTAGCATATTTGCATAGGCTATTCTACATGTGCCTTTAAACTGGATTATAAATTTGTTTGAAAAGATTGCATCTCATTATATATTTTTGACCACACTGGCAACTTTCATTCAACAGGAACAGTCCTAGAAAACAAAATTATAACGTGAATTTTATGACCAAACTTTTTCACTCCTTTACAGCAGTGTAACAAGCTCAGAAAACTGTCACGTCTCTGAAACGCAGCCTTTAAAATGAGCAAAGCACAAAGCTTTATCATGATAAAACAATGCCCCAAAATCCCAGATGATATCTTGTCTCATATCATGACATCAATATTATCTAAAAAGGGATAAAACAAGATTTGAATTCAGCTTGAGTTTCTTGTTACCATTCTGTCATATGATGCAAGTGTGAGAAACAGAAATGTAAATTACGGTCAGGCACTCAGACATCACAGAGACTGAATGAAACGGCAAACAGATAGATAAACTCACAAACAGGTTGTCAGACAACAACTGACCTTTGATCTTCACTGCCGTCACATGGGTCATGTTTCCCTCAGAATTGGAGGCGTGGCATGTGTACTGTCCTGCTGACTGCATGCTCACTGCTCGCAGAGATAAGGGTCCCTTCTGGTAAATATGATGTGACAGAGAGGTGGATGAATGCAAACAATGCATCATACATACAGTGTACAGAGGGATAGAGACATCCACTTGTGCATACAATGCACAGTCAGATAGAGATTCTTGCAATATATCCTCCTTCATAAAGGTGATAATGTTGAGAATTTTGTTCAAACTAAAACTACAGAGGTGTTAATTCAGCTCTATGATGATTTATGAAGATGTGCTGCCATTGAATTGTATTGCATTGTACTGACAGGTGTTTCTATTATTTTGTTACCCTGTTTATACAGTAGGGCTAGACTAAATAACAGAAACAGCTCTCTGTATAACGCAGTTGAGTCAACACTAATACTGTTTGAACAAAAACGAAACATTATCACCTTCATGAAGGAGGATTTATTGCAGGACAGTTGCATTTGACTGACTTAGTTACATACTGTAAGTGTCCCTAGTAAACTGCACACTGAACATACTGTATATGTACTATAGCAATAGTAAATGGTACTTTAATGGTACTTTAGGTTTTACATAGCTACAAATTTTACATTTAAATTAATTTTGTTACAGCAGACAGATAAAAAGGTCCACTGGTTAAATAGACAGACAAGAAGGGACACATAAAAACAACCATTAGTCATTAGTCATTTCCACATACATAAATGCATTACACACTTGTAGAGTCACTTCACACATACCTGATCTTTTGTTCTTTGAATCACACTGCCATCTTTCAGCCAGGTGATGGTCGGAGTAGGGTTGCCATTGGCAACACAGGCAAGAGATAGGTGACCTCCAACCAGAACCTCCACCACAGGAGGCGGGGCTTCTGTGAAGGTGGGTGGGGCTGTGGCACAAAACATTAACTGAACACATTTGATTATCTGCACATGAGGAAACAAGATTTTTTTATTCAGATAGACCTGAATCAGAAAACTGGCCTATTCAAATAAATTTACCCCATTTAAGTGAAAAATACTAATGCCAGATATGGACACTCCTTGTCTGCAGTGAAACACAAATCTACAGCAAGATCTGCACTGCCTTTCAAACAACAGCAACAAGAAAGAAAACTGCAAAGATACAACCTGGACTAGCAGACAATAAGTCTTTTGTTTCTGTCATCCCCTTTTTTTTATCAGCTTATATACAGCATGACAGCAGCTCAGCCTTATTTGTTAAACAGTAGCAGACTGTGTGAAGTTTACTGACATCAGGTTACAATATTATTTCACATCTCAAAAAAAAATGTCAGCTACAAACAGACCATTTCAGATGTGTTAACATGAACGCTTCGCTGCCACATGAAGTCTCAGATCTCATCAGAGAACATACAGAAAGCCTTCTAAAGTCTGCATGCACTCCAATCTAAAACAGACCACTTTTGACAAATGTTTTATTGCAGTTGCTCAGGACTCAGACCCATACTGGACCTTTACACTGTATACAAAATGGCCAGAGAAGATTGTATGGAATGAATTGCTTTTTTTTATTATTCTTTTATTTATTTATTTATTTATGTTTACATGAACAAGAGGAGTTTTTCTCTTCTTAATTGAATTACAGGTTAAGACATTTATTTTAGTATCTCTACATACGAAAAGTGAAAACTCTCTACAATTACAAGAAACAACTGTAAAATACTCCTGGCTCCTGAAAAATGTTTTAATAGCTTTCGTCACATACAGGGGTATCTTCAAAAAAGCTACTGAGTTCCTTTAGCTCTGCGTGTCCATCCTGTGAAGGCCACTGACAATTTCACATGTTGAAGCAGAGTGCAAACAACAGGATGTGAAGGGCATGCCTGCAGGGCATGTCAGTGCAGTTATGTCTAAAGCCTCAAGTACAAAGTCATAATCTATTATAATTCTCATCTTTAACGTGACGCTCATACAGACCAGCTCAGTGAAACTGCCTCGTCTTGCTTTGATCTGCAGGATGCACTGATCTGTGTGTTAGTGCATAGAGTTACCAAATACAGTTAAACTTCAAAGCACAAAAATAATGATGCATATTTCATATTTATTTATTATTTAAGCCTATCTATAAGTGTGATGATAACTCAGAGTCAGAGATGATTATTTTCAAAACCTGTGTGAATAAAGTCAACACTTATCCAAATCACTTGATCCGTTTAGTCATTTTTGTCTTTAAAAAGAAGTTTTTGAAAAACTTGTTTTAACAAACTTTTCAAAAGTTTAAGTTTAAAGATAGGTTATACAGTATACCACAGCATCTCTCAAGAAATGATTGAGCAGTGCTTAACAAAAAAAACAACTAAAGATAAGACAATACTTATGGGACAAATGGGCATGGGCATAGTGAAGTGAAATAAAACTTCCTTTTTTCTAATATGGCAGAGCACAAATAATGGTTTTAACTTTAAAATTTTGTTTTTGGTCCCAGCTGACAATGTTGGAACTGTAATCATTCAGTGCGATATCAATGAGACATAAATGTTATGTCTAGAATCCAGTGGTGGGCTGTGCATTTCGTACCTGGGCCTTCAGTGGGGACATACCCAATTTAATTCATCTCTTAATACCACCACTATCACGTTGCAATTATAGAAACCATCAATACTATACAAAAACGCAATATAATTAGCCTGGGATTACAGAGAGAGAGAGAGGTATTTCGTGTATTGAGGGTGAATACCATTTTTACTAAAGAAAGAAACCCAGTTAAGACAACTCCAAACCTCTACACTACAACCGCAACTGTACATCATCTGGAGCAGTTCAGACTCAATATTTATCTAATAACATGACAAAAACATACAAAATTTTTATTAAATACATCATACTCACCAGAGATACTATTTATTTATAGACAAAATCCATCCTCATGGAAGTGATCTCTGCGTTTCACTTCCACTAGTAAGTCCTTTTCTAGTTTTGCTCTGACCAACCAATCAGAGGACGGAAAATAGCTGAAGTTATTGTAGGCCAGCTAGCTGGCCCTGTGAGGTGAATTTGAAATCTGATTGGTTAAATAAACAGTTTAACATAGTTTAAGTTACATCGGCCAGCACCGCTGATTCTGAAGGCGATGGGCAGATTAGATTGACATGGCAACACATAGAGGCTGAAATCTGATTGGACAAAAAAATTTAACATCCAGATACACGTACTAGAAGCGCTGCAGCCAAGAGAAACACTACGAAATGAAGAGAATAGACTGTTGGGAATAAATTAATACAATTTCATGGAACAAATATTAGAATTTAGGTTGTAAATGTAGGTCAGTGCTTCTGATAGTGTTTAGGCCAGCAGAGAAGGCCTTGCTGGCCCTGACTGCCAACCACTTCTAGAATCTGTGCTAATTTTAGCAAGCTAGCCTTTTGCTTTGTGAGTGAATGCTAATTAGCCTATCTTTCTAGCTTCCACTGATACAGGGAGTTCTTTATCATACAAAGGGCTCTCCCAAATGCTGAATTTTAACAGAGAGATTTAAATTTTAATTCACTAACAGTACAAAAACCATTAAAATGTGAACCTGTCGAAACAGAGGGAAAATGTGTTTGGTAGTAATGATTGTATGGCACAGGGCAACTCCTGGCATTGCCAGCTTTCAAATGTCAGTCAACAGTGCACAATGCTAAACACAGAAGCACAGAGTGACAGCACTTAAAGGGTTTCACATATTTTGTCAAAAATCTATTCAACATGGAGCCACAAGTCAAAGAAATATTAGACAGTGTATGCAATAGCTGGAAAGACAACTTTAAATATCTTTAAATGAGATATTTCACAGCTGCTGCCATACACCTCTATTTACAGTATGCTGTTTGTGACAGATGATGTTGCTGTCATGAAATAGCCTAGAGATTTCACTGGCAACCAGCTTAACATTTCCAAGATAGAGCCAAGTCTCCTCTTTGTGTGCTGATGTGCACTGGAGGTTTTTCAACATGAATTAAATGTGTCAAAAACATTTAAAACCAAGAAGTCAGTCACAGTCTGGCATGCTCACATGTCAATCAGAGAAATGTAACAGCACAATAATATTACAAACAACAGTCAAAACAGTCAAGTTGTTTTCAACAAAATATCAGATTATGCAGTAGCCTACAATATTCACTTAAAACGACTACAGCTTTACTAGACTGTTGTGTGGCATGTTAAGGCAGTGGCAGCACCTGGTTAAGGTTGGTGAAAAGATTACAGTTTAACACACAAAAAGTCTGCAGTGACTGCAAATTTAATCATAACCATCATCTTCATATGTGAGGATTATGCCTGTTAAACTGATATAAACTAGCATAGAAAGACAGGCTTAGTAAAAGTGTATGATACATGCAGCAGGCTTGAGGTCTACTTCCTGGTGTTGGCCAGAGCAAGCAAATATGAGGGCACAGTAAAAGTTTGACTGGTTTGTTGGAATGAACACTAACACAAGTGCAGTATAAAAGGAAGCAGAAGTCTGGCAAGTTGTCTGGTGAGTTAGTTGAAATGTTTGCCAGTGTTAGTGACTGTTTGGTAACAATTAGCCTGAATTAGCCTGAGTAGATGAAGGACTGTGTTGGGTGTGTGGGTGTAGGCAAAGAGTGGGGGTGGTTCTGGGATGCCGGAACACACTAAACAACACCGGAACAACACCTTCTTGGTGTTGTGGGTCCAACTCAGTGAAACACCAGTTAGTGAAAGGGTGCCCACCTGATGACCCTGTAGATCTGCCTTCACTCCTACACCTACACAGAACTTGTATTGGTGTTGGTGATAATATAGTTACAGTCTCACTGGAATTGTTAATAGTCTTCCTTTATTAGACAATCTTGGTAGTGGTTGGACAACTGAGTGAACCTGGCTCTCAGAGGTGACCGCCATTACAAGCCAGCTGGGCCGGCCACTGCTTAACCTGAGCAAATACAATGCAGATGCTGTGTGTCAAGCTACATATCTGCTCTTTGCTTGGGTGAGGATAGGGTTCAGGGATGCTTAGTGTTAAGGGTAGGTTAGGTTGGAGAATGGTGCTGCTTACTGTGGAGCTCTGAAGAGTTATGACAGCATGGCCTGACACCCCCCTCTTTGGGACCAAATAATGGGCAAACATCACTTAACTTGGATACTGAGCTTCCATATGAATGCTCTCCCATTCTTTGGCACATTTAATTGTATATTATTGACTACCTTAAACAAACCTCAGATAGAGCTCAGAATGTGAACCCGACACCCTGGTGCTACAGACCTGCACTGCCTATCATCCACCAAAGAGACCACCAGACAGCTCTGCTGACATTTATAAATGTGGCACATCATTCATTCAGAAATGTATGTATGTAGCTTCTGAACATAATCCAGCCGCCATATTACATTAGTCAGCACAACAAAATTATTAAAGCAATTCTGTGCTATATATCTGTTGATACTGTACAGCATGTACGGTATATCTGCTTCAATTATTTTGAAGTAAGGGAAACTTTATGGTGCTGACGGCATGTCAGTCTCAATGCCTCATGCACCTTGCCATAGTGGGTTACCTTTGAAAAGTTGTGTAAGCTGCCCGCCACTTACATGCTTCATACTATAATACACACCATGCTGCGGCACAAAGGCAACACATTTACATTAGAGGTTAGGATAGGACATGTTGAAAGGCTGCCACTATAGATGCTATATCCACAGTGTACGTGCAATAGCTGCAGTATCATTATATTTTCCATTGCTTTACATGAAAGTCAAAATCCAGACTGAACTTTAACAGCCCAGCTGTTAACATTTCTATAATTAGTATTTAACTGAAAGGTTTGAGTTGCAACATAAGAATTTGTTTTCTACACCCTCATTTTTTTAAATTAAACAAAAGAAACCAAACCTCTCATTTGTTAAACAAGGCGTTTGGCAAGAAGACAATTAAATTAGAACATAACAGGTACATTTTTATTTTAATAAAACTATCTAATCAAAGAGAAAACAAGACGACAAATCTGACATTAAGTAGTAGCAAGAAGGTGTTATGGTTTGATACCCAGCCCAAGGCTGGTTATTCATAGTATGTATGTATGTAAAGGGTATCCATTCTGATTTCAAGTGATTCAATTCACAAATTGGGCACTGGCCACCCCATCTGGGCTAAATATTAATTAACATTAAAAGAAGTTTCAGTCCTGGCCTATATACAGTATAATCCACTTACAAAACAGATAAAAGGACATGAAGAAACACACACACACAATTACTTAAACCTTACCAGTTACAGACAGTAGAGTCCAGGTGCCGTTTTGAGGCTCATCTTTTGGTTTATCTAGCAAGAGAATTCGACACTCATACAAGCCCTGGTCATCCAGCTGCAGACCCTCCAGCCTCAGGGCGATGATTCTAACCAGAGACACCCGCCCTGCAGAAACAGGCAAAAAGGTGAGGGGGGGTACAGTAGGTGTGCGGTGCATGACAGAGGCCGTCTGCTGGTGATGCTGATTTCACTTGTCTCTTAGGTATGACTGGTGTGTAACTATTGGAGTGTGATGCCCTGTTGTGTTGTATAAGAACATTGTCCTCAAACATTGCCTGAAATGCCCAGACACCAACACATGCACAAACACAAACTACAGCTAACACATGCACACGCAAATGTGGAAATGTGATCTCCTGGTTGCCAGGTGACGGCTCCCTCGAGCCGGAGTGCAGAAAGCAACATCAGCCCTTTTATCTTTTTCCAGTCTGCAACCACATCTTTGTGTGTCCATGTTTTCACACTTATTCAAACAGCATGGCTGAAGAGAAACTGTCAATGAAAGCTTTATGCAAAGACACACAGTCATAGTCTCCACATTATCTCTGAAATAAAAACAAACAGGCGACACAGTGGAGCATGGAAGCCTCAGTGCTACTGGAATATCTTTGTTGTGATGGTAATTATTAACAGACACTGTGATTTCTGGTGATAGTGGCAGGGAGGGACAGTCCTGACAGTCAAAAAGAACTAGGAAGTTGGAATCAGGCATGTTGGCAGCGATAACACACCCTATTTGCTTTTCTAAGCCATCAAAGGGGACTAAATGCACAGGGGAAAGAGGGGAGGGAGGGTTAATGTAGAGCAAAATACACATGAGCATAAACTCAGGGGATTAGTATAAAATCAAAATCCTGCTCTTTGACCCCTGGCAGTTTTGTTTTCCTCTCTTATGTTTACTGGCTCAGAGTGATATAGGTCACTATATCACCTTAGAGGAAAGGGGCAGGGGTTGTTGTGGAAACATGGCTGGGACTCATCAGATAAAGAAAAGGGAAGGGTGGAGGTGGAGTAAGAGCATGACCCTATACCACTACTGCCGCCATGTGAGAAAAGCATAACTGCCAGGGGTCTGACTGTGAAACAACCTGAGTGTGAGGTTGGATGAGAGGAAGAACAGAAAGAGAAAGAAATCGACAAGGGACATTTAGATATTTTGGCATCTCAGTTCATGTGTTCTGTGTCTTGTAAAAAAAATATATATGTATATATTTTTAAGTGCTAGATTTTCCTTTTCTTCTTTCATTTCAAACTCTTGACCATCAAACAAACACAAACCTTAAGTGTATACTTGTATATAAAGCTCTTCATCGGGAAAAAAAAAAAAAAGAAACTGACCTTTAACAGTTTAGTGATGATTATGAAAAGTACGTCTACATCAATGAGATTATGGGGGATTGTTATTTTTGTAAGATGTTTTGTTAGTTGGAAATATTGCAGAAAATGTTGCAGCTTTGATGGCTGTACTACTAAACACGTATTTTTATTTTATTAATTTTATTTCTTTAGCTTAATGGACCATTTTATTCTTTACATTCAAATACTAACTGTAGTCTTTCTTGGCGTATCATCACATAATTTTGTTGGCCAAAGGCTATTAGGCCCCTTAGCTCCAAATAAGAGAAACTTTGTAGTCAAGACTATAGTGTAGTCAAAAGTCAAGGGTGAAATAAAAACTAAAAATTCCCTGTGCTTGATTATCTCCAGCATTCAGTCATAAGGCATGTTTCTAGATTAAAACAACTACAACAACAAAGCTCTGCTTAAACAGACATTAAAATTATTCAGCACATTAGCATAGTAACCAAATAAAAGTGCTGCAACAGGGACTTTGCTCAGAGGCTTCATTAAATTAGCTGCTGATCAGCTTTTTGATTGGTCCAAGTGAAGTTTATTCATGCACACACACACACACACACACACTGACACGCCACATCTTCACACACTTAAATTCCAACCGAATGCCCCCTCCACCATGCCTCAAAGGCTTGGGCCCTCAAAACACTCTCAGGTGACAGACAAAACCTTTCAGTGCTGTCATGAAATACAACTCTCTACAAATGAAAAGGTTCATTCTGAAATGAAAAGCCTGCAGACTGGTTTTAGAGTAGGAGTATTGTATATTATTAGATCTGATGGTCATAACCACTTTTAAGACAATTGCTTTCAAAGGACAATTGAGAACTAATCTTCTTTCAGCTGAAGTGCTAATTAAAGGCTTTTGTGTAAAGGCTTTTCAGATGGATCATGTAGCGTTTTCAAGTAAGATAATAGGCTAAACCAAATCGAAATTGAACAATATGTCTTAAAATACTATTCTTATTAATTACAGTAATTTATAATTGTATTAATTTCAACAAAAATGTTATGCCTGATCATTAATTTTGCTTTATACTCTTTACAGTGTAGATTTGTGCTTTGCTGGTGTTGTGTTTGGTTGACTTTATCCCCATATTTTGATGTTTTACTGTCCATTGTATTAAAGCGATGACACTGATGATCTTGGATGAAAAATGTTTGCCTTTAAAAAGACACATTTAAAAATCTGCTATTCTTGTGACATGATTACAGGTTTGAAATCCTTTGTAAAGATCACTGAGGAGCAGGCACATTATTGAGAAAAACATGTTGAAGGCCACAATGTGTGCAGGGTAGGCCTGAGATATTGATTTTCTTTTCTCTAAAATGGATACAATATGTAACATTTTGCCAGTGTGATTTTTAATTATGAAAAAAGAAAAGTCTTTCGGGGGATCATGGGGAAAGTGTCTTGTTTGGTTTGACAGGACTGTATGAAAATTTATTTTAATTCAACACTATCTCGTGCGGCACAGACGTTTATGTCCCTGAGAATGTGATATTCACAGGCAGCAAGCCCACATCGTCTGTGAGAGACGTCGTCAGCTCTTGGCAGAGGATTCTTTCAGTTACAGAAAGAAGCATATAAGGTTTCACTCCTCGCTGCTTGTTGCTCTATTAAACTTCAACTGTGCCATAGTTGCAAATTTGAATTGAGAATGCTGTTGCTATCAGAGATGTACTCACTGCTGTAACGAAACATGAGTTATCCTAATGCAAACTATCATGTTTGTCCATGTGGGAAAGGAAGCACATTAGCCATGTTAGTTCTGTGTAATGTGTTACCCCTGCATACACTCCGCTCTCGTTGACTGTGATGGGCTTTATAGGGAAACAGTACATTTATCCAGCTGTATTTACTTTTTAAGGAGTCAGCAACTATACAGGTGCTGAAGAGCTTTCTGTCCTCTTCATTGAGCAAATGCTAATCTTTTGATCTTTACTTCTCTAGCATAACAAATACATTTAAACCCTTTTAGTTCTTAACACTCTCAGGAGACAATCTGAAGAAAATGTAATGTATCTCACAATGTAGTAAGCTACACACAGTCAAACAAAAAGATTGTTAATGGAGGACGTGGCCTGCAATCATAAACGTTAGATTTTTATCTATTTAAGGTGGCCAAGAGGGAGCAGTAGAAAAAGTGGAGCCTCAGCAGAACGAATAATTATGCGTAAACACTTGGATAACCTCCATAAGAATCACAATAGTTACACAACACAATTGGGCTGTGGGTCTTAAAGCCAAACTGCTGAGACACCTGAGAATATTCATGGCCTGAGGAGGTGAAATCCACACCAGTCGTTCCATCTGTAAAGCCATAGTTTCCCATGCTACACCTGTTACTCCAACTCCAGCCACTATAGTACCTGTAAGAAAGGCTGGACTCAGCATCAGATTGAACAAAGCATCTTTTTTAAAGCCTTTTGTATCAAAAGAAGAGCAGTTTTCTGTTTGTCACCGGAGAGGCATGTGATTAGCATACCTGTCCTTTTACAGAAGGTGCTTTCTGTGCAGAATTCATTATGGTCAAGTGAAGTGTACAAAAAGTGTAATTCATAGCCCAAAGGGTAGGCAAATTTTAGGCTTTTTACTACCAGTATATTGCCCCACTTCAGTGTAATGAGGTGTAACATCAGTGTATGCTAAAGGATTGTCTTCAGAGAGAGTGTCAAAAGGCTACTGTCTTTTATGAGCCAAGGCTGGAATTAAAGTGTGCCCCGCTCCCACTTAAGATAATTCATCAGCCAAAGTTCACCACGACTTCATTGCTATGTAAATGTCAGTATCATATTTCCTGCTCAGGAATGGCATCTAACTCAAATGAGAAAGGCCTTGGCTCAACTGAAAGCAGGTTCTGAACCCTTGACAAACACAGACCTATAGTACAGTGCGTGTAAATGCACTGATTACTGCTCTTTATTGTATTTCAGTACATCCAATCAATCTATGATACTATGATACTACTTTATTTGGAGTACACTAATACTGTGACATAAGAGATAAGGCAGCTGAACTGAACGTTCAGCTCAGTTTTATGGGTGGTGTCATTTTATGGCTAAGGCAAAGTCTGAACTGTTGAAAAACAATTACACAGGCTGTCAACCAGCATACTACTAGTTAGTAGTTACTACTATCGTATTCCTTTGTCATGTACCCTACATTGATAAACATGGGCACTTTATTTTGAGTCGATTCCCCATACCATCCTTCTATCATAGTGTGCATTAGTTCACAACTGAAAATAGTCCCATTATTTACACTGGTTTGAGTAATGTTTGTTAAAAACTATAGGGTCCGTAAGTATTTGGACAGGGAAGAGATTTTGTAATTTTGCCTCTGTACATCACCACAGTGGGTCTAAAATGAAGTAATCAAATTGTGTAGATTGTCAGCTTCAATTCAAGGTGTTAAGCAAAAATATTGCACTAACCATTTAGGAATTACAGTCATTTTATGTATACTCCATCAATACACACACACTCACACGCTGTGTTTTCATTCCTTTTGGGGACTTTACATTGACTTACATTCATTTCCTGTAGACTTATCCTAACCTTAACCATACCCACTACTTGCCTAATACCTAACCCTGATCCTAACACTTAACCTAACCTCATCCTAACCCTAAACCATGTTGCCACCCTAAAATTCAGTGATTTCCTTGTGGGGACCAGAAGCTAGTCCCCACAAGGATGGCCGAGTCCCCACAGTGTGAGTGTGTTAACAGGTTTCGGGGGCTGCCAGTGGTTTGTACCTTGAGGTAAAACCTTTGTATTTATATGCATGAAGGCACCTCTTGGTTGTAGACTCTGACAATGATATACCTACCACTTCCAGAGTGTTCTGGGCTTGCATAGATGTGAGGGATTTTTCTTAACCAAGGAAAGAACTATATGATCATCCACTTCCGTGGACTTCTGTGGTCTTCCAGGCCTTTCTGTGTTTGTGAGCTCACCAGTGCATTTTTTTCTTGAGAATGTACCAAACTGTTGAATCAGCCACCCTTAAAGTTTCTGCTATCGCACTGATAGGTTTGTTTTGTTTTTTAGGCCTTTTAATGGCCTCTTTCACTTGTATCAACACCTCTTTGGACCTAGGTTTCTTTTGTTTTTTAAGTATTTTAATGGTCTCTTTCACTTGTATTGACACCTCTTTGGACCACATAGACGCGTGGACAGTAGCCAAATGCAAATTCAATACTTGGAATCAACTGCAGACCTTTTATCTGTTTAATTTGTCACACAATAATGAGGGAACATGTCACACCTGGCCATGAAACTGCTTATCTGTCAGTTGTCCAATTACTTTTAAGCCTCTGAAAATGGGGGGCTTTGTATAAAAATAATGTAATTCCTTAACAGTTAATGCAATATTTTTGTTAAACCCCCTGACTGAAAGTCTACACTTCAGTAACATCTTACCTGCCCCCATTTCAAATCCACTGTAGTGGTGTACAGGGGCAAAATTACAAAAATCACATCTGTGACTGTACATTTTTGCACCGCTGATAAAGATTGATGTCTTCAGCTGAGATTTGGAGAGTGACACAGTCAGAACATGAAAGTACAGTAGGAAAGTACTAAGAGAGACTAGAGCATTACTGGTTTTTGTCTTTTCAGGGGATTTGTAGATACTGACAAACTTATAAAATGATGCCTGCCTTATCATTTAAGAATCATAATTTACCTCTGTATATCTTGTATCTACTGCAACAAACTCCTGTTTTCATATTTAATTCTTCCATGTGTTCAACTGCTGTTTCCAAGGTCAAACACAAAATTTAGACCTCACCTGCTGAGCTTCACTACCCACCTGTCTAGAGACACCATATTTTAAGGTTTTATCATACAGTCTGCCATACATTGTATCAGGATTACCTTTACAAAAGGATTTCTTTTTGAAAGTGACCAGGCTGACCAAAAGGACAAGAGTCTGCTCTACTGATACATACAGTATATTGCACATTTATATTTACGTAACCTTGCATAGTAGGTACTTAAATTGCTACAATTCCAGTTATTGCTAGTGTCTTGTGTGCAGAATATTTGGCTGTAAAAGATTAATCAATTATTTCAGTCTTTAAAAATGCCAGAAAATTGAAACAAATGTTTATCTTAAAGTTAAAGTGGTACAGTCCCTGAATGTTTTAGCAGCATTTATTAAATGCCATGTTGATTGCTATGTATCTACTATCTATCAATGTTTACACCGCATTGAATGTATTTCACTCTTTCTAGTCACCATGCCTGCTCAGGCAGTTTCTTTCTAAAACCCTACACTGTGTTCTCTCAGAAATTCAAATAGTCCTTGGAAAGGTAGATTGAATTTCTCTGGGCGCTGCTCTATGAAAAAGAAAATGTCTGACAAAAGGAATATCTGAGTCATCCAGACATGGTTTCTTTTGGTTCACATTAGTCCCATTATTTGTGACTTTGAAGGATAACAGAAACTACACAGAGGTATTCTTGGTCCATTGAGGATTTTTCCCTCATGCTCTCTCTTTGTTCTCAGAGCTGCGGGCAAAACGTGCACAATGGATGATGATGCAATGTGAGAGTTTCTGTTCCTTTAAAAAAGTAGCTCCCTCCAAGTGTGGCTTGAAAGTCAGTGAAGGTGTGGTGTTGAATACACTTCGAGACTCAGGTTGATAATAATTAGAATGAGCGTCCTTCAGTGTAAGAAACTGGGACTGAAGCACGCTCATTCTAATTATTATCAACCTGGGGCTTAAAATTCCTCATTAGTGGTGCTAAAGAAAGAGTCAGGAGATCACCAAACATAGTAGTATTTTTCCACAGGTGGGTGCATATGTCTCTACAAAATTTCCTGGTAGTGCATTCAACAGATATTCCAACAGTTTTGAGATATTTCAGTCTGGATGAAAGTGACTGACCAAGTGACACTGCCACCCAAAGCTATCCATAAAGCTCTGCTGCTAGCATGGCTAGCAGAGATTATCATCAACTGCATACTGATTCTTGTTACTTACCCACTGACAGATATAGAATGATAAGATAAAATTTGTTGGTAAAAGACAAACTTTGCTGATAATACTGGCCATGCTGATGTTTCTAACAAGCTCTATTTGCAGGTTAAATTGTAAACACACCTCCAGAACACTCACTGCAAGCTCAGTTAAATGTTATCATATTATAGAAATACAAAGCCCAGGTTAGAAATAGCCAGAACTGTACATTAGGGCAGTACTACAAAGTGCTGCTTCAGGTAGTGGCAGACAATTATAGTAATCACAGTGAACAGCAAGGATTCATTTAACTTCACAATTTGTCTGTTGGATTACATATTGTGATGACAGATGCTCACCCTCATATTGTGGATGGACACGAGGTGCGTAGGATCCAAATTTAATGAGGACAGGGATGTCAAGTCCCTGTCGAACCCATTCTACCACATGTAGGGATGCAGTGGACACAGCAGCTGGGTTTGATGGAGGAAAACCACACTCCAGTTCCACCACACCTCCAACCTTTCCACGCACCTCTGACCTCACATCTTCAGTGGCCACTGTTGGGTTTATCAGAGGCAAAATGACAGTTTACTTTCAGTTAGTTTGCTATTAATAAAATGATGGACAAATATGTGTGAATATCAAAGATTAGCTGAAAGGACAGCTGGATGCAAAATATCTTTCAAATAAAATGATGGAGATACTTACAAAATAGGCAAGAAACTGCCAGCACAGTGAAAGTCTGCAAATATGATCCTGCTGACCCCATATCTGTCACTCATATAACCTGCAACATGTTCAATCTGTTGGCAAAAAAAACACAATTGTCACAATCACATTATTTCCTTGGCTGCATAAAAGAAGACAGCCATCTGTGACAGATTGCTAAACTAAAAAAGCTATCGCAGAGCTGCCGCTTCTGTCATAATTTTACAGACGGGGGAGATGAGAGTTCAGAATTAATGTAGCTTTCCAATAACTGGAATTCATCCCATATCATTACACAAATGGGCAGAGCCGCCTCTGCTGCCAGAAAACTCCCTGCCCCTATATCCTTCTCTGAAAGTACATGTCATAAATGTCACATAAATCTTTTGAGAGCCACGTGTGGAGCGACATCTAAGTGGTTTATTTAGAGCACATCAATGAAGATATTTGACTGCAGCAGCCTGGAGACTCTCTACTCAAGGACAGATATAAGCTGAGTAGATGGGAGCATAGGCACGAAAGGGGAGCGACTTATTGTCAAGAGGCACCGACCAAAGTGATCTGGTCAAAACCATCCATTTTATGTGTAAACCAGAGTGAGGAAATCAGCATGACAGGACACTACAATACAAGCCATCTATCATTTAAACTATCAGTCACCTTCTTTGGTGATCAGCTGGAGTACAGAATCACTCTCTAAAACAATAAACACCACACAGGCTAATGCAAATGTTCTCTTCTTCTGTGCATTAGTCTTGATATCATGCAGCCACGGCTCCCAATGGTTAAGGTCAAATTCAATAGGATACGGTCTGATGTCAGCTTTATGTGCACTCATCAGTTGAGCCTTATTTGCTTTAGCCCACATCTAAAACAACATCCGATTAAGTTTAAGTTAATTACTATAGGGTACACCCATATAATGAGCTGAAGCTAATTTCTGGTAGTACTGACAAATACAGTACTATAGGCATGTGATAGACAAACATGTCTACACACCTACAAAGGCAAACACAAAACCACTAGCTCTTGGCTCCATGTACATACTATACTAAAACTGTGTTTTGGTTATATGGTATGTTTACAATTGCAGTATTCAAATTATTTACTTAATTAAAGCAAAATTATGCAACTTTTGCTGACATGGACAGTAGTCATCAAAAGTAAGTCAGACTAAATAAGGTAAACTTCAAATGATAAACTGTGTCATTCTTAATTGTGGTGTGGATGGACACTTTTGTTCCTCGGTGCAAAGCACAGCTGAAAAATAAAAGCTTCTCACAACACAAGTGAAATGGTAGCTGATAGAAACCAAAGATAGCTCAGAAAGTACGATTCAAAAAAATAAATTCTTCTGGGAAAGAAATGTTTACTATTCCAGAAGTTTTCAATTTTGAAATTGAAAGCCACAGCTTGCTGCTTGTATCCTTTCTGGCTTCAAAGTGGTAAAAGTTTTTCCTGTACCACAACATTGCAAGGTCAACATTAGCAGACAGAGTACACAATACACAATACAATAGACCTTTTTTCACAGCAGAAAAAGCACAGGTGTAGCTAACAACATTAGCGATGGCTGAATTCCATTAAGTGTACTACTCAACATTGCCACTCACCAAGCATGCACAATACTATGATCCTAGAAATGACTCACATAAATGGAAGGTGAGTGTTTTCAATTACACCTTTGCTTTTCCTGCTGTGACGTCAAAATGTCTGCTGTGGAAAAGGTCTATACAAATGTACTGTCCCCCATGAAGTCTGTTTTTTACCGCATCCAGCAGTATAAAATACTGCAGTATCATGACATGACACATTATAAGCAACAATAAAATGTACAACAATAGCAAAACCTACAGCACCTATTTACCTACAGTAAATAACATCATATGCGGCGTTAGGTTTATTTACTGGTTTACTGTTTGCACATTGAGAGCCAATGTACCAGAGTCAAATTCCTTGTGTGTCTGTCACACCTGGCCAATAAAGCTGATTCTGATTTAGTCAGTATACCCTACTGACTTACTTTCCACTACTATATGTCAGCAAAAGCTGTCTGCCGTCTTGGCCAGTGCTACCATTTTTAACCTCAGTGGGATTCCCCTGGTTAAATACTGGTTTAAAAAAAGTGTGCAACCAAAAAGTAGGTTTGAATTTGGGGCACCTTGAGGGGTCTTAAAATGAATTTTGTAATGGTAGTTAAAAGTTAACTATACAGTTTATTAAGATAAACTACATATTACAGTAGCTATAAATTTAAATAGTAGCTTTGAGAAGTTCCTAGTGCATACTGTCTACAGATTTTATTTTGTAAAGAACATATGAGAAAACAGCTCATTATACTGTAAATTATAATGAGATTATAAGGTTGATTATAACAGATTTGGATGACTGAACTAATGAGGTCATCTTCAGCGATCTCTGTGTGTCCTGAATACGGGCAGTGAACACGCCCTTGTCCCAGCATCAGCACAAGCCATATCTAACTGTTAGACTTTTATGGGTTTTGTCTTTTTATGGCTAGGGCAAAGTCTAAACTGTTGAAAAACAATTACACAGGCTGTCAACAGCTGCTGTGCTTGTTTGGACGCACTCCCATGCTTCAGCAAACAGAACAGCACACACAAATTTTCCACAGAATCAAAAAAAAAAGTCAAAAACAATCTTCAATTTGTGGCATGTCTGCTGATCGCACTATACTAGAACATCATCAGGCGTTTGTCCCCTGCCCTTCACCCGCCTGACTTTATGCAAAGCAGCACAGCACAAAGTTTACCCTAAACTTATTACCTTTGAATTAGACACTGATGCCTAATGCTCCAACTAAGCCGGGCCAGCCAAGGTAAAGTTTCAGCATTATGATTCTGTTGCTTCTCATCTTTACACAGTGGGTGAGGATGAAAGAACAGTATGCACATATACACACACACAAATTAAGACTGCCTGTTGCCATGACTGAGCAGTGACATCTCTTCTGCTTGGCACATAATGAACAGATGCTCAGCATTTTCTGCTTGTTCTTCATCGACTGCTTCTTGTTAACTCAAAAGAATGGAGATGATAGAGACTGAGTACACTGTAATGACATCCATCATATCTCTGATTAAAGAAATATATCAAATTATTCCTGCTCTGCATTTGGCATCCAAATACAGGCAACTACAGACGAATAAAAATGCTGTTTATAGTTTTATTGCTCTGACAAGATAAGACTTGGTAAGATAAGACTTGTATGCCTGGTGAAAAAGTGAGGCATATACACACACTGTATTTATCTATCTTGTGTGAGAACGGGGGAAAAGTGGCAAATAGCAAGGAGACACGGAGACAGATGAGAGGCAAAAGTCTTGTTAAGCTGCAGGACATTTTCTGCCATTAAATCTGAACCAAAAACTCAGAGAACTGCTAAATGAAGCAGCCTGTGCAGGTGAAATACTCAGCCATGGTAACAGAGATGGTCTCTAGACATTTTCCCTCTGACACTGAAAACATGAATAAACATAAGCACAGCAGCAGCACTGTGGAAAATGTTTAAAGCTATGATAAATGAGCCAGTAGCTCACAAAAGAAAGCACCCTGTCTCATGCAGATTTATCAGCTGACAAAAATAGAAATGTCAGTGACAGGCGTGTTGTTGAAATTTTCTGTTGTTGCCATTTCAGTCTACATAGGGAGAGGAATGGGGACCAGCAGATTAATTGTGACCAAGGCACAGCAACAGATTTATCAGCAGCGCGGGCTCCTCTTACCCCATCACACTCGAAACTAAAAGATAAGGGAGCTCCTACGCATTTGTTTTCTGATCAAATTCCATTTCTTTGGAATTCATTTGGCCATGGTCCATAGAAACATGACACAAGGGATCACTAGTGGATTGGCCTGGTTCAAGGCTGTTTGTTTCTGCCAGCAACTAAAATAGAAATTAACCTCTGAACACAGTGAAAGTCAAATTCGTAAAGTGCTGTGACTTAAAACAATAGACAAAATAAACGTGCATTCTTAACACTGAACTAACAAAACCCTAATGGCAAGCAGTACTATAATGGCCCTTAAAACATGAACTTTCCGCATAACTACAGAATTGAGACAAACCTATTCTACCACATGTAGGGATGCAGTGGACACAGCAGCTGGGTTTGATGGAGGAAAACCACACTCCAGTTCCACCAAAACGTGCACTCAAGTCAGTCTTAAAGGGCCCTATATTGTGACATTTCGGGCTACCCAACAACAAAACTGACTAAAATTTTCTCTCATCAGTCCAAAGCAGCGGTCCAAGATCGCAGCATGAGACGCATCCACCGACTGATATAGAGCTTTGGCTACTAAACTTAGTCTGTGTGAAACATGTCCCAGTATGACTGCTGCTGTAATCCAACCAATATGGCACGAAATAAAACAGGATACACATGCCAACATGACATTGTTAATTACCCAAAGACACAAATGTGGATATATTGTAAGCACCTTTTTAAGTTTTAAAATATGTTGCATTTAATTTTTACTGAATTTTCTGAATATGAGAGTAGGCTTTGTGTGTTTGGATGCACTTTCCTTTTTTTCTAATAACATCTTAGTGTTTCGATTCACCCAGTATGCACCCAACACAGTGTGACATACAGTGTACAATGTATTTGGGCTGTAAGTCACAACAAGGCCATGCTAGCAGCTCAGTGAGGCTGTACTTCAGTACAGCTAAATGCTGACACCAGGATGCTAACCTGCTCACAACAGTGATAAGAAGGTTTAATGATTACCATAAGGATAAGGATAATCACCTTTATTGGCCAAGTATGTCACACACAAGGAATCTGTTTCCGGTACAGAACTGATGGCAGCCATCTGCTGCGCCAACTCAACCGATTGCTCTAACCATCGGGGGCAACAGAGGGCTTGGGTGTCTTGCCCAAGGACACTTCAACATGTGGACTGCAGGCACCAAGATTCAAACCCTCAACCTTCCGGTTGGGAGACGACTGCTCTACTCACCGCACTGTTGCCTCCCCCATGCTCACCATCTTAGTTTAGTGTCAGCAGTTAGGACTAAACACAAGTGCATATGAGACCGATGTGAGTGTCACAAGTTTAGTGGGTATTTAATTACAAATCAAGGTATGACAAAATAAACTTTTGACCTGATGATGGCACTGTGGCAGACGTTATTACAACTGATCCTGAGGAGAACAGGAGTATCTGTACCTGCCATCGAACGGATCGACTGACAGTGTCTGGGCCCTGACTAATATGAGACTTGATTTACTTTGCTTTTAGCTCTCTAAAGGCTTGACTTCTGACTTGAACTCAAGAACACCAGGACAAAAGTCTCAGCATTTGACCTGTCAGCTCTCAGAACCATTAAAAAATAAGTGTGACAGTGACATTCAAGCTATGTACAGTCCAACAGCTTGAATATTTAAGCATTAGAGCTTTGCAGTTAAAGAGCTAGGTCTCCACTAGTTAAGGAAAAATGTCCTATTGACACAACTTTGACAAGAAATATTTTAAAATTTTAAGTGTTCAGAGACCTGACAGACTTGACACTGACTTAAAATGTACCAATTAAGTCTTGAGACTTGACGTGAACTAGACCCTAAAGGGCTTACTGTATAGCTCTGACCTCCTAAAGCTCTTATTTATATTTCCACCATATCCAGATAATTTTAGTTTAAGACAATTCCTCCTTCCCAAGTGGTTTCATATTTTGCAGACTCCCAGTTCGTCTTCGTGTACTAAATATTTTTCTGTAGTTTTTTTTTTATATATATACCAGCTCTTTAGAGCTCTGTCAGATGATGCGCTTTGAAATCTCAAATTGCCAGACAAGTGTGACAGGTGAAAAATGCTGTTCTTTGAAATTCAGCCTGTTCTAACTCACCTATGCATTAGTAATTTTTATTGTGACTAAGCTACCTCAGAGTTTAAGTTCTTCTCCACAAGGTGCTTAGATTATTTTGCCTCCCCCTTCTAAGTGTACATTTTATTTTTTCATGGCTTGCATATGGCTTACAAAAACCCATTTGCAAATTCTGACACAAAGCTTCCATCACAATAGGAACCCTCTACACGGCTCAATTTGATGTGCACTTAAGAGAAAATAGGACAGATTGAAAAGCAAAAAGGAAAAAAAGTGGAAATAAAAAGGTTTCCACTGTGAGGGTGTTGAGCCTCTACACTCAGAGTACAAACATTACAGTAGGTATCCTTCCTATAAATCAGAGCAGTCAGGTGTATCCAAATGAAAGCCACAATCTTTTTGTTGATTTGATCTAACAAGTTACAAGTCCTAAACTTTGTGTTTCAAACTATAAACACTTTACTAGATTTAATGCCAGTTCAATTTTTTGTTGCCTGTGTGCCTCTCCCTGTAGCTCTCGCCTGTTTATCTGTTGCCAGGACTGTTTATAATGTAATTTTTGGGCTTGGGAGTATATCAAGTCATTCCAGATCAAACATTGAGTCAATGTTGATTTTATCAAGTCAAGTATAAACTCATCAGATTCACATCCCGAGTCAAAGATGTGGAATTTAAAGACAGGAGACAATCTTGGCTGTGCAAAAATGCCCACTGTTATGCATGTAAGTTAGTCTTTTAGTAAAGCGCAAATAATTCTATACCGCAAACACCTTGAAATCCCATTTTCTCAGTCACCTTGTTATTATGAGTGAAGGGGTCCTACATGAACTCACTTTTTGCCAGGGTTAGAAGTTTTTTTATGTTCTTCTCACTGATTGAAGTGGGCAGGGCTATGTTGACAGTAGGTGAGCATTCAGACTGATCCCTCTGCCAGGGGTTGCATTAGTCAGCAGGGTGAGGGATTGTGGGGAGACATTGTAGGCGAGTATGGTACATCCATGTTGTGATGACTCAGCGTGATTGGCTTAATTTATGTTTCCAGCTGATGAGTTTCCATTGTGTCTCCCTCACAAGACTTTTTTTTCCTAACTAAATAAAGTATTACGTGATAGTTTAAGGATTTCCTTGAATGTGCATAAATCCAGGCCATTGCACGTTCATGTCAGCTTGCCTGACATCCACCAGTGCCCCCACCATATTGGCAAAATGTTATACTGCCTTCCTTGTTATGTGTATTTTCAATAAAGCTTATGTTTAAAAAAAAAAAAAAGGACATCCACAGTGCCATTGTAAAAGCAAAATTTTTCGACTATGCCCGGTTTTGTAGAAACATTTTACCTCCTACTGCTGCACTGTGACCAAAGGATGTGGAGAAAAAAACAGAGCCTGAGGTTACCGCATGTCCGGGAATGTTCCTGTACAGGGACTCGCTGTTTTACCTGACCCGGGTCTAACCTACAAAGCAGACGGCCTGCGAAGACCCCCACTGCTGTTAGTGATCAGCTCATCAATGCTGGATTCCTCCGGAGTACAGTACCTGTTTGTTCTGACTGCTTGAGGCCAGTGTGTCTGCTGCTAACAGTTTAACAACCCATGATGTTACTGTAGGTGCTACACTATGTGTTGGAATTAGTTTCACTACTTTGGGACTGTATGTGGCCGTGTGGGGGAAGACGCAGCGACCATCGGTTGGATTTACTGACCTTGGAGCTACTTGAAAGGGAGTGATGTTTCCAACTTTTTTTTTTCAAGTTGGAGAAAAAAAACAAACAAACACGTTACATGTCTGTTAATGCCTTGTTTTTGTAGAGAGAATTGTTGTAAGGCTGGACTAGTCACTATGTCTGCATTATGCCAGTTAAAACAGTATATGAATAAAATATTTCTCAACTACCTGCTTTGTTTAGAGTGTTACACATCTCTTTTTATCAGTAGATATACCGCTGTTGACCTATCTATGGAGGAGAAATTCAAAATAAATAATGCCTTCGCATTTCATTGTGCCGTCCACTTGCAACACAACACCGGCAACAGGAGTTGTGCGCATTCACGAACTATCTTCTCGTTTTAAGGAAGAGGCTTTCTGGACCTCTGATTCTGAAACAATTACACTATTTGGAGTTATGAGGGTGCCAAACTAATCTAGAGGTACCCAAGATTAAACATTAAATGGCTGGAAATGAGCAAAATGACCATGCCATGGGCACTTTAAATATTGCTTACCTGGTGGTGACTATCTATTAATAAAATGTTCAAGTATAGTTCATTTATTTGGTTAAGTTGTGCTGCTGGCTATTTTCTTATGGGTGATCAAAGTGTTAACTCCTGTAAAGATCCAAGGAATTACTGAATACTATTTTAAAAAACAATAAAAAAAAATGCAAGTCATTTAAAAAAACCTTTAATTTGAACCCATTCTCAGGGGCTTAAAAGGACAATACCAGTGTGGTTTACTGTCAGTTTTTATTGCATTTTTTGGAGGTTGTTGGTTTCCATTTATGTTATTACAATGTTACAGAGCCTTTCTGAGCATAGATAATTCATTACAGACATTAGAATGTCTACTTTAATTTGTGGAAGTGTTACATTGTTGAGTGGTGATTCAGTGTAAAATTTCCAAATGACTCTCACAAACTATGTCTTTGAAACCTATCTGGATGCACCAGGATGAAGCATGCAAAACCATTGTATGGTCTTAATAGGGTCTTGCTGGTAATAATTTGCATCTACATCGCTCTGCTTTAAGTATCAGATGTCAAGTGTTTACTGCATCTGCTGTATAATTCAGGTGATGTCAGACAAGTGCTCATCCCTCTCCAAAAATATACATTAAATTAATTTCCACTGAGCAGCCCCTGATGATGTAAACTTTATAGAAACTATTACATTATGGGAAACAACACCCATTTGGCATCTCAGCACACTCTAATAGAATTTGTAATCATTAAATGAACCTTGTCAGAGTGGAATAGACTAGTCTCAATACAAAATGAGCAAAATTTTATATTATGGCTGCCCTCTACTTATTGCACTATGGTAATGAAAGATTATGGGCCTACATGTATCCATATATTAAATAACATTTAGCTCCTTGTTAAATGTACTAAATTAGGAATGAGAGATTGTATCAGATCAGACTGCTCCTCTCTGAACCACTACACATTTCTACAGCCCAGTATATTATTTTAACTGATAGGAAATGTTATGTTACATTTTCAGTTTTCCTTATACACCCTATCCCCTTTTTTAATCATAGTTTATAAAGTTCAAATAACGTGATTGGTTGTCATTAAGATAGTCACACACACACACCACCAAAACCTTATTAAAACAACAAATGATTGGGGGGCAAACAGGCGTCTTAAACACAGTCATCTGGAGAGTTGGCTTTAAACTCCACAAACGTTCTGTCAGTTTCACATTTCGTGTTACAATGGAAAAGCTCCCATACAGACTCCATTACCGGCGTTTTACTGCATGACAGTTCTCATGACACAGGATTGAGGTAATTTTCCCCAGTATTAGGTCAGAGGAGTAATTCACACCCTTAACCGCTGGACGTCAGAAACACTTTTAAGAAATGCTGGGGTTTCCCCCTTGTCCTACCTGTAGCACGGGTACTGCTGGTTGCTGGTAGATTTCCTTATTAAAAACACATCCCTCGTACGTGGTTTTTATTTTAGTCCAATTTGTGCCTCAGTTTGCTCCGTGTGGAAAGCAAGTCACTGTCTGGAAAAAACGAAAAGGCCTGTTCCTTTGTGGCGCTGCAAACTACCTGAAATACGAGCGTTGTCTTTTTCAAACCCGATGGCAACAGGTGTCAGTTTCACGTACAGGTGACCGCGAGGCAGCGACGCACTTGGCTGCTCCCCTCTCCGTCCCTCCCTCCCCCTTCTGTGCTGCTGCGGTTTCACCGTTGGGTTCAAAAGGTTCCAACCACATCAGACTAAAGTTACCTGCCACACTGCTTGAAGCCTTTAATGTTTAAGCCAATGCATTTGAAATAAATGTTTGTGCAGGCAGAGAATGGAAAAGATATTTTGTTTTTTTGCCCTTAATCCCCTAATGGCACCCAGCTTAGTGGTAACCACAAGAGGGTGTCCTTTACTTGATGTTGGTGGCCAAACATGGGGGAAAAGTTACACTTGGACCTATATAAGTCAAATTAACATACATTAATAAACTACAACAAATTGCTTTGTTAAAAAGTGGCCTTTAAGTATATTTATAACTGTCACTCTTTCAAAGTATTAAAAAATTTCAATTAAGACAACTTACTCTTTCTCTGACTTTGTACTGACAATGTTTTTCATTTGTTTTTTGTATTGTGATTTTATTAATTGTTGTTTCTTCCTGAAATCTATTAACTAAACCTTCACTTTCTAGTTTTGTGGACAATATTGTAAAAAATTTCCTCTTGTCATAAAGTTGTAAAAACCATCATACATAAATAGATCTGCTGCTTTACCTTCTTTGTATATTTTTCATTTGAAACAATATTACAGAAACTGAAGGGATGTACAGTAGTTTATATTCTTGTATTTGTTTTTAACATGTTTCCATTTATATTCTCTTTGTTTTTCCCCACTTACAATTAAAACAATTCTTTATTGAGAAAACAGTTCCTAGTTTTGATATATCTGGTTTTATTTTTTATTTTTTTAACTTTTTTATATATCTCAAGCAAGGGTACATGCTTCTTATGATGTTCAAAATCAATAGAATATGCACAAATAGCAACCCTTCATATAGGAAGTAATACATTACATTCAAAAATATACACCCTACTTTGATCAATTAATCAATCTCTGGATAGTACTCCAAATATAATCTCTCGGGAGAAATACAGCCTCCTGAGTTTTTCATATTGTATTTTCTTATGGCAAATACATATCTATTTATACAATGATACAGCTGTGCAACTGTGCAATAAGCAAACTTTCTAGCAGTACTAAGTTGAAGGCATCTGTGTAGAATGTTTCACTGCTCGTCCAAGGTTTGTTAGCATGTTTTGAATGAGCGGTGAGCATACTCATTACATGTTTGTCAATAAAGTTGTAAGGTCAGTCAAACTTTGGGGTGGCGGATAATACAGCTCAGAGCAGAGAAGTAACAAGACATAATTATAAAACTAAGCAAAATAGTTAAAACCCTGTGCATGGTATACCTGTGGATAAACACAGGTCTCCACTGTACAATGGTAATAAAATGTTGCCTTTGCTGCTACATACATACAGTGCAGTCAGAAACTCAAAGTAAACAGTGGGCCACAGTCTCAAGCTACAGTGTGGCAAAAGGGGGGTATTCTCTGTTAGTCAGTTGCTGTCATTTGGCTCAGTCACCAAAATCTGGGATGTCATCATAGGAGTAACCCCGGTAACCTTTGGCAGCGTAGTATGCAATTCTCAAATGGTAAAATCCAGGAAGGAATACAAGTATTCCTATGATGATGACAGGAATGGTGCGGTCTGGATACTGGAAACAAAGGACAGAAATGATGAGATGCTACAAGATGACTTCTGTTGTGTGTCAGATTATGCCCTTTCACCATGTGCACTCAAACATAATTAGGAATACTGTACTTGGAATTGAGATGCTGGAGGAAGCATCACAGAGTCCTTGACATATTCAGCTGGGGATGACATATCTATCTGCACATTGCCTCCCCGCATATCATAAACATCCTCTGAATGAGCAGCATGTGCAGGAGGTATGCAGACATGATGGCCTCATCTGTCCAAGAACTGGTTTTCACGTAAATTATTAGTCATTTCATACAAGGCAGCGGACTACTAGGAAGCACCATCAACATTGAAGTGATGCTTAAATTCACCACTAGATGGCAGGCTTGTGCACTGAGTTACTGTTGAGAAATGCACTGCTGCATGAGCCATTCCACCGCCTATCATCTTGTTGAGGTTCTGCAGATGAAAGCTTTGGACACAGGCAGTAAATGCTAACACTGTTCTTAGGTTGCACCGTTTCCAGGGTGAAAAATGAAGAATGAACTTCATTTTGCAATTTTGGAGGACTGGCCCTTGATTCCTCAGATTAAAATACCTGAATAAAGTAGTACAATTTTTTCAACATTGACTTCCATTTTCCTTTTATTTGCCACTGCAGCAGCTGACTGTTGTGTTCACTGACCTTGACTGTCACTCCAGTTCACCAAAAACACTGCTGCCCAATATACACAGGTATACACAAGTATAAAAAAAAAAAGTTCCCTCTCTTCCAACCCAAAACTCCCACAACTTGATGCAACCTGTCTGCATTCCATTCCCCCAATATCCATTGCTTAACTCTTGTGTAATTTGTGGTATTAGACAAGCTACTTCAACTCGTGTGGGCTAATTGGCAAGTAAACGGCTCAAATGCTCTGATGCTGCCTTAATGTCAGGTCAGATTTTCTGCAAATACATTCTGCAAACTGGGAAAAACATTCATATTAACCTCCTACTGATAGTTACAAATATAATATGTGCAGATTCTGTTATCTCCCACACAGAGTCATGATTTCTGGAAGCTCAAGCCACAGCAGGAGATCTACCAAAGTAGGCACTCCAAGGTAAAACATATACAAATCATTAGTTATGAAATGCAATCAAACTATTATGGGCCAGGAAAAGCAAGAGTGCAGCAGAAAAACTGGCAGCAGGGTAATAAAATGTCAACATAAGGGTTCAATTACAGCTGTTTAAATACAAGATTAACTGCAGCATGAGTATTTTAATCACCACTAGACTTGAAATTTTGGAAGTCTCTAAATCTGTGTCAGAACCACAAATGTTTTTGTAGCACCGAGTATCAAAAAATACCAAGAACCAATAGCTGACATCAGATGTAGACTGATCAGCCACAGCACTGAAACCTGTGGCAGGTCAAGTGAGTAACACTGATTTTTTCGTTACAGTGACACCTGCCAAGTGTGGGATATATTAGGCAGCAAGTGAACAGCCAGTTCTTGAAGTTGATGTGTTGGAGGGAAGGCTAGCCCATCTAGTTGGATTCCAGAGAGGAGCTACTGTAGTACAAATTGCTGAAAAACCTAATGCTGCCCATGATAGACAGGTGTCAGAATCTAGTGCATAGCAGCTCACTGTATAAGGGCCTGTGTAACAGCAGTAAGAATGCTCACACTGACCCCTGTCCACCGCCAAAAGTGCCTACACAGAGCAATGGAAGAAGGTGGCCTGGTCTGATGAGTCATGTTTTTATTCATCCTGCGGTTAGCCAAGTGCATGTGCAAGATATGTTCATATTCATCAAAGTTAGGTACTCAGGTATTCAATTGGCACTACTATCAAAAATACCCAGTCGGAGTCAACAGAGCATCAGTAACAAAATGCACCTAGCTACTGAGCCTGGCCAGGCTGGCACACTGCAGTTTTTATACAAGCCAGTGCTACAGTCGAGTCACTAAACTGAGTCCGAGCAGAGTCTCGAGTCCCCAGTGTTCGAGTCAAGTACGAGTCACCAAAGAATGATCTGAGTTGAGTCCTCGTCTCCAGCTTCAGAGTCTGAATGCAATCAATGCTTGAGTCTAAATCCAAGTCCGAGTCATCAGTGCTCAAGTCCATGTCAAGTTATGAGTCCTGAAAATCTGGACTCGAGACCGAGTCCTGGACTCAAGTACTACAACACTGGTGCAGGTTAACCAAATAAGAACTAACATATTAGCTAGCTTCAGAGGTGCTGGTAGGCAGACTTTGTAACAGAGCCAGACTATTTGCTTCCTCCTGTTTCTACCCTATATGCTTGGCTAAGATAACCAAGAGATGCAAAGAGAGAGAACAGTGGTATCTGTTTTCTCATCACTTACCAAGAAAGCAAAGATTTTCAAACTGTTCCTTTAGCATCAAGATGCAGCCAAGATAAGCTGACAACTTCATTAATGAGGCGCGCTTGGAGACACATTTTGTCCACATGACATAGAAAAAGAAATATAAGGTTTCTCTAGTTTCAATATATGAGCAACATACACAGAAAAAATATCTCCCACACAGGAATTACACTGAGAACAGACAAGAAGCAGACAGCTCAGACAGAAACATTTTTGTCACAAATGGATTTTCAGGAGAGTTCTATTCTGAGAACAGGCCTGACAGGGGTAGCCTGTCAGTTTTAAGGTACCCAAACATCATGGGAGAAAGTGACATGCTTAACTTTGAGCCTTTAGCCAATAAACATAGAGCCTATTTCAGTGTATAGGCTGTGGATACGTTATAGCCATATACAGTACCATAAACCCAAGCAGTTTCCCATTTGAATAAAGTTTTGTACATTAACTGACCAAACTCACCTCAACCTGTATGGTTCCTGCCAGAAGAAGGGCTCCGAAGATTATCAGCAAGGAGCCAATCAGAAACAGGAATACTGCTAGTGTAATTGCCTTATATGGGACCTTTGGCGGGCTTTTCTTGAACTGGAAAGTGATCAGATGTTGGACAAAATACAAGGCATTCAGTTTTTAATGCCACTATGAAACAATATTAGGTTTGTAGCATTACCAGAGAAAAACTGTCTTACCTGTAAGTCTATGTAACCATCATCATCAGTAGCCAGCTGGGAGTACTTGACGTTGTTGTTGGATATTGCAGCACCCAACATGTTGCCTCTAGCTGCCTTCATTATGGTATAGGAGCTGGTTGGACAGAGAGACGCCGTGTGGTAACCATCCAAGATATTGCAGCTTCACTGGCCCAATCTTGTTTCTCAACTGTACTCCTTATCAAAATAATGTTTGCTACTCATCGGTTTAATATGACCATATATCATTTCTAGACATTACTGGCCCATATGTTTAAAGTTATACCAGGGTATAAACAGTCAAAATACAGTATCTCATGATAGAGTAAATATATCATCTAACAACATACTTCCTACAACCCTGCTTTGAGCAAATATCAGTTTTAAAAAAAAAAATTGACAGCACACCTTCTGAAAGTCGATGAAAGTGAAAACTTTAAGTAGACTGAGAAGTTAGTGAGCACAAGACACACATCCCTTCTTCTCATTTCCACTGCCACTTCTGCTCGAACATTTAATCAACAACAATTTCAACCAGTATCTCATACAAGATTCATTTTCACTGCAGAAATTAAGGCAAGGTCGCAAATTCTCTCTGTTCAAGGTTTTTATTAGTGAAATGAAAAGTTTGCAGCACACTGAGTGGTTTGGGGAACTTTTGAGCTTGATTTTTTGCAAAGTCCGCCTACAGCTGAGGCTGAATGGAGACATTTTTTTCCCACCCTTCAAGAGCACAGCGGGGATAAAATCATCTCAAATGATGCTTCTGTTGACAACAACTAATATTAGCCTAATCTACCCCTTCTTTTCAAGCCATGATGGCAACTGCTTCTCATTATGACTAATTAATATTTCTTGTGTCTATTCCACACAAACCAGTCAGCGTTAATAAAGTCCATTTAGTCAAACATTTTCACACATTATCACTGCTTCACTGCATGCAGCATCCACACATTAACAGAAATGGAAACAAGAAAAACACCACAACAATGATCAGAGGGACTTGGAGGAGTGTGACTACACATACGATCTAATCTTCCTTGAGGCCAAAGTTTTGCTTATGTTGGGAGATTCTGGCTCTGTGCATCCTTGCATTTGAACCTCCCCGCCCCGCCACGGGAAACTAAATCAACAAACAAATACTGTTGCTCCTGCTTGGACAGAGAATGGAGAAGCTTTCAGAAACATTGTTATTTTTGCTGGCAGCTGTCACCGCAACTTGCCGCCAAGCTCCAGGATATAGTTGTTGTACCACTACACTTAACTGCAACAGGACAAGGTTGTGGATTTTGTAAAAATATAAGAAAGTGTTTGCAAGACCATTTTTTGGGCGGGGGGGACACAAACATATGCAGCTTTGAATGAAAATTGAAACTTCAGCTATGTGGCAGTATTCACTAGTACTGGTTTTAGACAGGGACAGAACCTATTGTGCAAATATTCCATAGGATTCTTGGGATAACTTTCATTTTGCAGCACTGCTCCCTTATCTGCAACTTCTAAAATGCACATTTTACCTGCTTTGTAAATGGACACACGTATTAAATATTTTTATTCGGGTTATTTTCAGGGCTGTATCTATCCCTGAGGAGACTGGTCATGCAAATTTTGAATACATTTCTTGGGAAATGGGTTTATACTGCAATTTGGACTTTTTTTTTTCAAAATCCTTGCTACTCTGGTTTTCTTAATAGATTTCAAACACTATAAGGTTTTGTACAGTATATGGCAAGTGTTTGATACCTTAACATTTAAATGTACCGTAGTGACGTTAGCCTAGTTTTTATAAGTAATGTACAGTGCATGAGCATATTGCGTTGCGACAGTAGCCTACATGTACTTAAGATACTGATTTATACTTTTTAACCACATGAAACTGTAACATGTATTAAAGTTTCGTCTCATATTGTTTACCATAAACAATAAAAATAAAAGTAGCATTAAAAGAATTGAGCTTTGTATCCACCCGGGAGTAAGTTAGTAGCGCTTTAGGTTCCTAAATTAATCCTCCGCACAAAAATCACTACACAGACCAACTTAAGGCTAATAGCTTAACAGTAACTTAGTCGTTTCTGCGCATTAAGAACATTGCGTAGTTGAGGCTTTTCCGGCAAACAAGTGAAAATGAAGCTGTCCACTACAGAGCGGACTGCTAAGTTGGACTGTGCGTTTTGTTTAATATACATTCGTACCTTAACTAGCAAGAGCATTAGCTTCTCAGAAGTTACGCTATAAAAAGCTAACTAAGTTATACTGGCATGTACAAATGCATACGCGTTCATTTCTCCTCTTTCCGCTTACCGTGACTCTAACTATGATAAAAACAGTAAATGCTGATGTCCAGTGTAGACAGCTGCTCCACAATGTCACATCTACAAATTATCATCCATGGAAAATCAACTTCCTTATTTACATACACTACGCATGCGCATCAGGTCCTATTTCATGTCCTGTTCACGGGCTCCATGTTGTCCTCCGGTATCCAGCCTTAAAGTAAGCTAAAACTCAGTGGTGGAAGATTAATCCAACAGTCTTATTTATGTATGTCACAGTATATTTGCCACAGTATAAATTACTCTCGAGTTTAAGGAGCTTCATTCAATATTTCACCCCAGTAACGTTTTAATAGGTAAATGCAGTTGATGTAGTTTATACTGATGGTGAGTTTTTTTCCATTGATAATTTTGACTCTCTCTATGGTCCTTCTCACTCTCTTTAGTTGTTTGACTGCCTTTCAAGAAGCATCATTCTGAGGTTGTGACCCTATACCCCTGAGCCTTTGGACCCCAGGGTCTTCGTCCTGTGGGCTCATTTAGTAACTTGTCCATGACTGTTGAGTAGTTTAATATATAATTATTTGTATTGTACAAGATGATCACAGATTTAGCATGTAAACTATTAATTTGCAAAATACATAATAACTAGAGTAGTATAAGAGTAAAATATATATTAAATTTTTTTTTTACTTCCCTCTGAAGGGAAGCTATCAATTGTGTATTGCCTTGCTGTGCTTTTGTCATTAGGGATGATCCAAACTCTCAGAGGGGTTTTAGGGGTTACTACAGGTTACCTTTCATTCAAAATTCCAGGCATGTACTCCTCAAAAAACACACATCATCCTTGGATTACGCTGTACGATTTTTCTTTTGGGTAAATTTCCATTCCATTCTTCTTTATTTATAGATTCACACTAACACTTTCACAATAAATTCTATTTTATCTCTCATATTCCTCTGGGTAAACACATTCCAGTCTATTTGCTGACTAGCTCTGCAGTTGTCTGGGTAAATGGAAAGTAAATGGCAAGGTGCTTCCAGAAAAAAACATCCTCCAGTTTGAGCTTTTTACAAAATGGATTGCCTGTCATGACTGCCAATGACACCAGTAGCTGATATGGAATTTTCTTTTTTAAGCTCAGACTATTATGCCTTTTTATTCAGAAGTTGCTGTGAGTGTCCAGAATATATATTCAGTATTGCCACCTGATTTCTATTCTTTGTTCGGTGACAACTCATTGTGTGCAATGAAATAATTTCTCTCCACTTAATTCCATACAAACTCCTGTGTATTAGGTTCTGTGATAGAAAACTCATATACTGCAGCCTGATTAAACTTTGTAAACTGTTTAAATCTTGGTCTGCAAGGAAACTATCATCTTATGTAAACTACTGACATATAAAGCCTCCAGTATATCACTGTTTCATTATTATGTGGTGAATGTACCTCCATATGTCTGGGAAGTAATCATGAGCGCTTGTTTGAGCTTCAACAACTTGTATCAACTAAGAGTCAATTAGCTGTTTTTAGACACAGACATCTACTGTAGATTTGAAAGAACTATAATTATGTGCCAACTGATTTGGAGGAATGCAGCATGTTTCAGTCGAATCATATCAACTGGGAAAAATGTCACCCATGATTGCTTCACAGCTAAGCCAAACTTAACAGCCTTTACGGAGTATAAATAGAATCGGCTCCCATCCTTCAGGAGGCATTTCTTCTATCAGTGGGAGCAGGAATCAAATAGGAAGAGGATGAGAGTTCACACATATACATCTTTCTCACAAACCATGAAGCTGCATGCACAGACCTGCTGTAAGAGTTCCAGCTACCAAATCTTAAGCTGTAGTCATTTATTGTGCACTTACATTACTATATGGTACAATTCAAGTAATAGTTTATAAAGTCTATACAACAAAGATAAGAGTTTACTGCCATGCTAGCAGCTACTTTGAGTTATAATGCTAACCTGTTCACAAAGTTACTTACTGTGTGTGTAATGATTATTTGTGTCCACCATCTAACATACTAATATTTACCTATTAGGACTTAACACAGAGTATATCTGAGACTGATGGAAATCTCAGTTTCACAGGTTTTTAGACCCTAAACCAAAGTATAAGACAAATTAAAATTTTGACCTGATGGTGACACTAGATGAAACGTCCACATATCAACAAATTCAGTACAACAGGACTACATCCTGAAGGAGAAATGAGTATGTGCATCAAATTTTGTGACTTTCATAAATAAGACAGCAGAGTTATGACTGCACTACTTTGAATGCTGCAAAAAAGAACTTGGCATGTCATGTTGAAAAACCGCTGGAAGAAGCTTTATATCATTGGCATCATCAAAGCCATCACTAATGGAGTGAAATACAACATGCACTCCGAATAACATCTCAGCAACATTCTTTTCTTTTTTCATGTTAAATCAGAAAAATCTACTGGACCCTTCTGCAATTGAAAGATTTATGAGTAATATTAAAGTCCCAGAGCCAGTACAGTAAACAAGTTAAGACTCTTCTTACATCTATAGTAGTTTCACCTGACAAACAGTTCTGGTGCTGCGTCCCTTAAAAAAAAAAATTTCTGACAGCCCGAAACTTTCTTCACTATGTAATAGCCATGCTGATACATTTAATAAAAGGGATATGAAACATGAACAACAAAGTCTTGAGGCACACAGTGCACATGCAGTGAGCCATCTATCTAAGATCTCATGGCACTTTAATAACACAAAACCTATTTCAGTCTCCGGTCTTCAGAAAGTGCTGAAAGGTTGTTGCTAAAAAGGAGTTCCTGCTACCATGGAAAATATATGGTCTGTACTATCCTGTTTTTTTATATTCAAACGTCAGCTCCTGCTGTTCTGCCAGCACCAGGTCATGCTGTTCACCTCGGGACTCTTATAATGTACCGGCTGTTTTACTGTATGGTTTAATACTGCTCATATTTTCTTGCAGGAGTTTCATCATGTTACCAGAAAACACAGGAACTATTATGATGTAGGAATGATGTAGTGCACTTATCTTTCCATTTTACATGGTTATAAAGGGATCCTTGTTGCACACATCATTTGGATGACCCCCAAGTTTATGCTTGTCATATTTTTGCTGTTGTACATTTGAGACTTTTAAAATGTTTTTAAATCACATACAATTTAAAAACATACAATACATCATTTTATATATTAATTTCTTTTTAATGTTTACATGCAGGGCTCAGTGCAATGGAAAATCAACTCATCTTGTTGGTAGTCTCAACTACAAACTACCAGCCATATTTCACAAGTTCTAAGAGAGCGGGAGACATGCACACAGTTCACAAGAACAAAAATTTAAATTTCCAAATATTAAATAACCAAAGGCATCATTAAACTAACAAATTATACTATATTCCATCTCAATAAGGATATGCCGCACATGCTTAAGACACTACACCACAAATTTAAGTTTAAACTATGAATCTACAAAATTACCGTGACTATAATTCATAATTTCTAGCACCCATCTAGCAGAAAAGATAGATAAGACCTGACCTATTCCCTACATCTGTTTTTACCTGCTCCGAGCAGAAACAACAAGAAAAGGAATCAAAGTCTCTCAAGCAGTACCTGTTCAGTTGGCTCATCATTAACATGTGTTTTTGTTGTTGTTGTTTTAATTCAAACTAATCACAGTAAATTATTTAATTTACTACATTTTTGAACCAGCAAGGCTAAACAACACAAAACAAAGTATTTTGTGAGCACCTAATGTTAAAGGTTTTCGCACACCTGACCAGGGAAAGAAGCATTTTATCAGAACAGCAGCCTCACATTGGATTTAGCTGGCAGTTCAGTATATGTTTTGGCCTGGATTATGAGGCCAAGTGGTTTGTTTCCCATCATGGCACTATCTCAGAAACTCGCACCAACTTTGGCAGTAGCAACCCTCTCTTATGGAAATTACTACTAAAATTACTATCGTAAACTGTATTTCCAGTTATGTTATGGTGGCAATGTAATCAATTCTTGAATTATGTTTTTGGTTAAATTTGAATCATTATGTCTGGACAATGTGAATGTTTCTGTCTTGGAGAATTTTTTATATCTGGGAGTTGCTGAGTCTTAGAAGAATTGAAGGAAAAACACAGGGTAGCATCATGAAGCATCTCAGTTTAATTGCTTGTCAACATAAAAAAGGGCACCACAGCATGTTAGTGCTCTTCTCTATGTTGGCATGCAGTGAAACCGAGATGCTTCATGATGCTGTTTTTCCTTCAGTTCTTCTGAGACTTATCAGCTCCCAGACATAAAAGATTTTCCATGACATTCCTAAACCACATGATGTGAGTGCCTAAACATAACCGTAAAATGTTTAATAAGGCTGCAGTCACTAGTAAATAATGCAATGGAAGATCAAATAATTCGTTGGAAACCAAATACACTCCTTGCTTGAAGAAATATAAATTAATTAAAAAAAATTGAAAATAAAAATATAATTCAATGTTTTCTGTCAAAATTAGGAGCTTAAGTCTATAAACCAATATTGCTAGAATTAAATCTCTTAAGCATGATGATATCTAAAAGCTGAATTTCCCACAAATTCAGGCATAAAGTCAACAATATTTACCCTGGGCAAACAGATTTATTTGATGGTTCAAAGTCACCATGTTCAACTAAAAGAACCAGTTACCCATTTGCATATTCAAATAGATGTTGCAATCCCGGTATTTGCAGAATCAAGAGGACATTCCTAAAGTTGGTTTGGCCATGAGCTCTTCATTTCAATTCTAATGGAGTTTTTTCCTCTTCTGGAACCAAAGGTTGATATATTCATCCCGGTTCTCTGTCAAAGCCAGAGGCTTTACAGTATAATGAAACAAAAATGCTCATTTCAAATTATATTTGCCACTATTTGCTATTTTATTTTATTTCTTCTTTTTCATCTCTAGGTGCATTCCATAATTAATTTGACCCATTATATCTTTTTCCTTCAAACAAGTCCCCTTGGTAGCAGGCATCCTCCAGCATCCTCTGCAGAGCCCTGCCCAGCACAACAAATTAGCACTGACATCATTTCTTTGAAATGCCTACCTGACTGTGTCTGCACATAGCAGGAAAACAATGTGGAATACATCTGATCTGGA